AGGCCTTTGTGCAGTTTGCTTCACAGGAGATAGCTGAAAAGGCCTTAAAGAAACACAAGGAAAGAATAGGGCACAGGTACATTGAAATCTTCAAGAGTAGCCGAGCTGAAGTCCGAACCCACTACGACCCCCCTCGAAAGCTCATGGCTATGCAGCGGCCGGGTCCCTATGATAGGCCGGGGGCTGGCAGAGGGTATAATAGCATTGGCAGAGGGGCTGGGTTTGAAAGGATGAGGCGGGGTGCGTATGGCGGAGGGTATGGAGGGTATGATGACTATGGTGGCTATAATGATGGGTATGGCTTTGGGTCTGATAGATTTGGAAGAGACCTCAATTACTGTTTTTCAGGAATGTCTGATCATAGATACGGAGATGGTGGGTCCAGTTTCCAGAGCACCACAGGGCACTGTGTACACATGAGGGGATTACCTTACAGAGCCACTGAGAATGATATTTACAATTTTTTCTCACCTCTTAACCCCATGAGAGTACACATTGAAATTGGACCCGATGGCAGAGTTACTGGGGAGGCAGATGTTGAATTTGCTACTCATGAAGATGCTGTGGCAGCTATGGCAAAAGACAAAGCTAATATGCAACACAGATATGTGGAGCTCTTCTTGAATTCTACTGCAGGAACAAGTGGGGGAGCTTATGATCACAGCTATGTAGAACTCTTTTTGAATTCTACAGCAGGGGCAAGTGGTGGTGCTTATGGTAGCCAAATGATGGGAGGGATGGGGTTATCCAATCAGTCTAGTTATGGGGGTCCTGCTAGCCAGCAGCTGAGTGGTGGTTACGGAGGTGGTTATGGTGGTCAGAGCAGTATGAGTGGATATGACCAAGTTCTGCAGGAAAACTCCAGTGACTATCAGTCAAACCTAGCTTAGGTAGAGAAGGGGCAGTAAACAGCTACTACAGAAATAAAAGCTGTGCATTTATGGGAGTTGAATAGAATGGGAGGGATGTCTAGCATATCCAGTATGATTGGTAAACGGGAAATATCATTGATTCTGATCACTCTTGGTCAGCTTTCTTTCTTTTTCTTTCTTTCTCTTTTTTTAAGAAAACAAATTAAGTTTAACAGTTTTGCATTACAGGCTTGTGATTCATGCTTACTGTAAAGTGGAAGTCAGGATTGTTTTAAAACTTCAGGCTCAGTAATTTCGAACACTGAAACATTCATCTAGGATGTAATAACAAAGTTCAGTATTGACCATAACTGTTAAAACAATTTTCAGCTTTTCTCAAGTTAGTTATGTTGTAGGAGTGTACCTAAGCAGTAAGCGTATTTAGGTTAAAGCAGTTTCACTTATGTTAAATGTTGCTCTTATACCACAATACATTGAAAACTTTGGATGCATGTTGAGAAACATGCTTTTCTGTAAAACTCAACTATATGAGCTGTGTCTACGATTCAAAGTGAAAACATTTGGCATGTTTGTTAATTCTAGCTTTTTGGTTTAATATCCTGTAAGGCACGTGAGTGTACACTTTTACTTTTTTTTTTTTAAAGATCTGGGACAATTTTGAGATGTAATACCAATACTTTAGGAGTTTGGTCGTGTCGTTTGTATGAAATTCTGAGGCTTTGATTTAAATCTCCTTGTATTGTGATTTCCATTAGATGTATTGTACTAAGTGAAACTTGTTAAATAAATCTTCCTTTTAAAAACTGGAAATATAATCTTGTACAGCTTGATGTTCTTTATGTTCTATCGTATGAGCCACTTCTTTTATACTATCCTCTGCTGTTGAAATTTAAGTTGTTTTTAGTTTTTTAATTATTATAAACATACATTAGCATCTTTATACATACATCGTTGCATATATCATTAATTATTTCTAAGATACATTCCTAGAAGTGGAATTGCTGAGTCAAAGGTCCACGCATTTTTAAGGCATTTGATTTGTATTATCAGATTATGGTACTTGGTGTTTCCACCAGGACTGTATTTTTTTTAATTTCCCCCCCACAGCCTCCTCAATGATGCACATTATCCTTCTTGATCTTGGCCTATTTGTTAGTTGAAAAATAGTATCCCATTGCTATTTTAATTTGTATTTCTTTCATTAATACTGAGGTGGAACTTCTTTCTGTTTGTTTCTAAACTTATCACCATGTCCACAGGACTATTGAGCTTTATCAAGCTTTGTACTTTATCAAGACAGTATTCTCCAAAATCCAAAGAAGTAAAAGCAAATAAATAATCCTTTCTTTCATTTAACCATAACTTAGAAGATCTAAGTCACCTTTATATGTTTTAAAAAGGGAGGCCTATGATATAGAAATAATTCAGTCTCTTCCATGAATTTATTAAGAGTGGCTTAGGACTCTTGAAGGTCTTTCAGGGTATTTAAAGCTTGTTGTAAACCAGTGGTTCTCAAACTTGAGTGTGCACCAGAATCATCTACAGAGCTTGTTAAAACATTGATTACTGGGCCCCACTCCTAGAGTTCTGAATTACGGTAGTTCTGGAGTGGTGCTTGACAATCTACTGATGCTGCTGGTTTCAGGACCACATTTTGAGACCCCTCACAGCTTTCTAATGGCTAAAGGCCTATATAAACCCTAAAACAGCAACTTTAAGAGGCAGCTTCCTTCATGATCCCTGATTGCCTCCCCTATGTTCCTGTAATAAGTAGTTTAAAACTTGCCATTAAAGCACAAATTGCATATGATTATTTACAAACCTTGCACCTTCCATGAGGACTTTTCAACGCTTCTGACATCTGGGGTTATCTACATTTCTGCCCAAATCATAATGGCTGTTAATTACACCTCTCAATGGCCTTCGGGCCTCGATGCCCTAGGGTCAGTACAGCTGCACGAAAATGTCTACGGATCTCTTAGTAGATTCTCCTGACCAGCCTGGAAGTGGATTGTTATCCTTAGTCTACTTAGAGCTTGGGGCCCAGAGAAATGCTCTGAGACGAGAAGCACATATCAAATTGGTATTACCTGACTCCATTTTATTCAATGACACTTTTTACTGAGCACCATTTCTGGAAAATCAGTGGGAGGTGATCTGAGATTCTTTGATGACTTCTAATTTCTGTCATAGCTGCCAAGAGAGCAAGAAATCCATTTTGACTCGTGTCATACTGAGCCAGTCATTACCTTGCCCTCCTGAGCCCTCCAGGAAGCCTTTCTCAGAGGGTTCACAAGTAGGTGTTTTTGCTTTCCAGGCTGCTCAGTTAATTTTCCAGAATGTTCTCTAAGTATGAGCAAAGATTCTCCAGTTATCCACTAGATGTCACCAAATCCCAGGAAAGGATTGGCTGAGCCCTAAGATCAAAAGTGTTTACTTCCTCTTTGCTGGATAAGAATACTCAGAAGGGTTCAGGGAAGCAGTCAAAAGAGAGAGACCCTGGAGGTCAGTGACCAGCACTAGAGGTGTGGAAAGGGACAGCAGTACCAGCAGCACAGATGCGTGCACGTGCGTGCAAACACACACATACACGCACTCACAATACCTCTAACTCTCTAAAATCTAACACTACCCAGGAAAGTAGTGAGCTACTTGGCAGGATCAGGCTGAAAGTTTGCAGCCACAACAATCACGGCCTAATGGGGTCTCCACTGATGGCTTATGCCAGTGCTTCTCAGGGTGTGGTTCCTGGACCAGCAGCATCAGCATGACCTGGGAACTTGTTAGAAATGCAAAAGTCTCAGGACCCATCCCAGACCAACTGAATCAGAAACTCCAGGGGTGGGGCCCAACAATCTGTGTTTTAACAAGCCTTCCAGGTGATTCTGATGCTCAGAACCACTGGCTTATGCATGGATTCCGTTATTCACCCATTCATTTATTCCTATATTCTGCATCTGATCATAAAGGAGGTCACCAAACCAGAGACAATCCTATCTGTAAGCATGGCACATCTTCTGTACTGCCCGCCCCCACAAATTGATATGAAAATGCATTGCAAATTTGTTTACAAATCAAGGTCCTTTTTCATCAGGGAGAATTCCTAGGCTGTCAGCAAAAAACAAAGATTTCTCCAAGATGAGCCTCCAGGGCTATTGCAAAACAGCTACTGATGGAATGAAATTCCACTTGTTCTGCATGATACCAAGCTGGGAGTGTCACAAGGGCCATTTCACAACCTGCTGCCACACTGACCAAAATTCAATCTTGTAAATAATGCAAAGTAGGCATGTCCATGGGGTCACCAGGTTAGCCTGGTGCAGGGCCTCACTCGGGAGGTGAGGGGTTAGCTTGTGCCTGAAGCCTGTCTGTGGAAGCCCCCACTCCCCAGCAGTGATCTGCACAGCCAGAAGCACAGGACATACCTCCCACCAGCCACCAGCAGCCTGAAAAGAGAATGTTAGGCTTCTGAAAGAAGAAATGGGCACCGAGAGACAACATCTGAGAATCATTGTAATTTATTCAGTAATTATTTTCTGAACTATTTACCTATTCCAATGCTCTGTCTGACCAATACACTAATTAGGACACCTACCTGCATATTGTGAGGACCTATTTCTAGATTCCTTTTTCTTACTCCCTCTACCTGCCTCCCCTCCTTTGCACGGGGCTTGTTTCTCACACACTTGACGTCATTACGTGTCAATGCCATCCCCGCTTTAGAGATGAGGAAACTGAGTCTCAGGGAGGGTGAGAATCAACTTCGTCTTGGGGAAAGAAGCAGGATGCTGGAGTGGAGGAGGAAATGATGTCTGGCGAGGGAAAGAGAAGGACATGGTTCAGATCTGCATGGGATGGTGTAAGGGTAGCCGTGTCCTGGGAACTGTGTGGTGAGGGTGGCGGTGACCAGCTCCGGGTCCAGCCAGGAGAGGGTCCCCTCTCCCGCTCCCCTGCACATAGTCCCCTTTCCCTACCGCAAGCCCGCTGAGAGGCGGGGAAAGGGTCAGGTTGGGGGGCCCTCAGGAGGGCGAAGAAAGAATTTGGTAAGAATCTATTTGTCCCTCTCCCTTCCCGCTTTCCAGAGACCCTCCATCTCCCCGTCACGCCCCTAGTCCACTCGCTTCCGGAATGGGACGCGGACGAGGCCGCAGGGGCGATGGCGGCCGGCCGGGCGGGGCCTGCTGGTGGCTGCTGCGGAGGGGGCGTGGTCAGCGTGGCGAATGGCGGACAACGCCGGTGGGGGAGGAAGGGGAGGAAAGAGAGGAAGGGGAGGAGGGGAAGTCGGGCGTCAGCGGAGCGCTGAGGGGAGACAACCATTTTGCTAAGCACGGCGGGCGTGTTAAGTTGGTGCAGGAATGTCGCCTCCCTCCAGGCCCCTCTCACTGCTTTCGGTCCAGCGGGGCGCCGCGGCGGGAGGCCCAAGGCCAAACGTGGCTACGGGGCAAGGAAGTAACGGCCCTGGAGCCTCCCTGGGCGCCGCCTCCGTGGTTTATCTCGGGGCAGGCCCTCGGGGAGTCGTGCTTCTCCCCGGCCCAGGGCGGGAGCAGGCAGGCGAGGGCACCTGGTGGGCCGCGGGAAGCCGCTTTTCCCTACTCAGAGCCCCTTGCCTGGCACACAGTAAGCGCTCAATACATATTTATTTTCAGTTGAGTGTTGATTCAACTTTTATGGCTTGTGATTAATCTTTTTCCTTCTGTTCTAGAAACTCCCATTGCCGCCTGGATCAAGGACAAACAGTTCGACAACTGTCACAACACCATACTGCAACTTTTAAAAAGTTCTAAAAACATGTTGGTTCTTTTGTTTATTTGAGTATTTCTCAACTCATTATTTTAGGGTTTTTTTTGCATTGTTTTTCTCTGCAGCAAAGCCTTAAAATGTTCTCCCTCTTCCTTGACACTTCCTCCCACTCCTCCGTTCACACTGATTTGTCTTCTCCTAAATCTTTTTGAGCAGATAATCAGACTGCACAGTTATTACTTGGTGGTTCTCAAATTATTTCACGTGTGGTAGGTTTTTTTTTTTTTTCTGTGAGGAAGATCAGCCCTGAGATAACATCCGTACCAATCCTCCTCTTTTTGCTGAGGAAGACTGGCCCTCAGCTAACATCCATGCTGATCTTCCTCCACTTCATGTGGGACAGCTGCCACAGCATGGCCTGACAAGCGGTGCCTCGTTGGGCGCCGGGGATCCAAACCCCGGGCGACCAGCAGCAGATTGCACGCACTTAACCGCTACGCCATGGGGCTGGCCCCTCACGTGTGGTAGTTTTGATTTTTGCTTGTCTGGTTAGGCTGTACCTTTTATCCTTAGGCAAATATGAGGGTCCTCCAAAGTGCCTATGGGGAGGGGACAGGGGAGTGACTGCAAAGGGGCATGAAGGGTCTTTTAGAGATAATGAAAATGTCCTAAACTTAGATTGTGGTGATGGTTTGCACAATGCTGTAAATTTACTAAAAAACATTGAATTGCAGATTTAAAATGAATGTAAATTATACCTCAAAGATGCACTTAAAATGCCTATGGAGTAATAAGTAAAGAATAGGGGGCTGGACAGATGGCGTAGTGGTTAAGTTTGCAGGTTCCACTTTGGTGGCCCAGGATTCGCCGGTGGGATCCTGGGTGTGGACCTACTCACCACTAATCAAGCCATGCTGAGGCCGCGTCCCACATAGAAGAGCTACAACTCTATAACTATGATACACAACTATGTACTGGAGCTTTGGGGAGAAAAAAGAAAAAGAGGAAGATTGGCAACAGATGTTAGGGCAAGGGCAATCATCCTCAAAAGAGAAAAAAAGTAAAGAACAGTGGAGATAGGATGTACTTTGTAGGGAGACTAGTAGGAAAAGTGGGTCACAATGATAAAGAAAAATACAATGGCCTAAGGAAATGACAAAGAATCTCCTTGACCAAACTTTAGACAGGCTCTTTTCTAAGCTCTCTTTTCAACTAGGCCTCATCCTGGGGCCTTGTCCTGGGGTCTTGTTCTGGGCTTGCCTAGCCCAGTTTTAGCAAGAGTCCTGCTAAGTCATCCCCCTACCATTGATACCTGATCACCTTGGCCTGCCCTTAGCAAGAATCCTTTTAAGTTGGTTTGGCAAGAGTCCTTCTCCCCTTGATGTCTCCTCTTAGTAATTTTCCATCCACTGACTCTCTCACTCTGTTTCTTGGCTATAAATCCTGAGTTGTCCTTGTTGTATTCAGAAGGGAGCCCAGTTCTATACTGAAGTCTCTTTTCTATTGCAACAGTACTGAATAAATCTGTCTTTACTGCTTTTAACTAGTGTCTGGCTCTGCTTCTCTTTGACAGAAGGCACTCTTAGGCAATGCTGGTAGTATATATCAGTCTGGCTTGCTAGGGGGCCATTCTTATTTAAGAGACCACCAAAAAGTGCCTACGCACTCATTCATTCACAAAATACTTATTGAGTGCCTACTTGTTGCCAGGCACTGTGCTGGGTGCTGAGGAAACAGACATGAGCAAAAATCCCACAAGGTCTCTGTCTTCATGGAGCTCGTAGTCTAGTGGGGGAGCCAAATAGCATGCAAATACCCACACAAGTGTGCTCTTGCAGTAAGGACAAGTACTGGAAGAAGAGGTCCACGATGTCCTGAAAGCCTATAAAATAGGGGAATTTGACTAGTCAAAGTGGTCAAGAATGCTGCCCTGAGGACATGATTATTATTATTATTTTATTATTTTTATTGATGTAACATTGGTTTATAGCATTATATAAATTTCATTATATTTCGACTTCTGTATAAATTACATCATGAGAACATGATTATTGAGCTGAGAGGTATAGGAAGAGTAGAGGCTAATTAGGTTGGAGATGGGGGTTGGGAGAGAAGGCTTAAGGCTATGTGTTCAGAGAGAGCATGGTGAGTAACAGGGATGGAAAGAATGCCAGTATGGCTGGAGTTCAAGCGGCAGTGGGAGAGCAGTGTGGTGGGATTTAAGGCTGTGACAGTATGTAGGGGTCAGGACATGCAGGAGCTTAGAAGCCAGCTTAAACAGTTTTGTCTATATCCTAAGAGCCATTGGAAGCCCCGTGGGGTGGGGGTAATGAATTGGATTTGTCTTTGGAAAATATCACCATGGCTACAGTGTGGAAAAACGGGTGGGAAGGTGTCAGAATGTATTGGGGAGTCCCATTAGGAACCGTTGCAGCAACCTAGAGTAGAAGTGATGGTAGCTTGGACTAGGGTAGTTGTGGTTTAGATGGAGAGAACTGGTATATTTTAGAATTAGGAAGTAAAATCCACAAAATTTGGCAATCAATTGGAGTTGGGAGTTAGGGAGAGTGAGAGGTCTAGGATGACTTCTCAGTGTCTGGCTTGTACAACTGGATGTTTGTGGGTCCCGATCAGAGACAGTAATAATGAGTTCAGGGATGAAGATTCTGAGTTTGGTCTTAGACATGTTGTGTTGAAGGTGATTTTGAGAACACCAAGAGAGCCGTATAGATAGTTCAATGGATGGACCTGGAGCTCAGAAGAGGAATCTAGCCTGGAGATGTGAATTGCACATAGGTAGTAATTGAAGCCCTGTGTGGGGATAATGTTGTCCAGGTCAGAGAGTATCAGAGGGAGACTGTAGGAGAGCATAGAATCAGGAGCCTTGAGAAACTCAAGGATTTAATGTGGAGGAGAGGAGGATCAGCCTGCAAAGGAGACAGGGAAAGAGCAGCCAGGGAGTTTTAAAAGAATGTTAGGAGGGACTTGTGTCATTGAAGCCGGAGGAAGAGACTGTTTTAGGAAGTAGGGAGTGGACTGTCAACAGTGTCCATTGGTGCTGAGGGGCCAAATAAGATGTGGACTGGTAAGTATGCGTTGCATTTAGGAATGTGGAGGTCATTGGTGACCTTAGCCAGATCTATTTTCATGGAGTGACAGGGCAGAAGTCTGGAGTGGAATGGATTGGAGTGTGGTTAGCAGAGAAGAGAAGGCAAGGAAATGGAAATAAAGAGTATACGCAGCTATTGGAAGCAGTTTGACTAAGAAGGGCATGGAAACGCCAGAGTAGTAGCACGAGTGGGATTAGGGGTCCAGAGAGGTCTTTTTTTAACAGTGGGGAGAAATTATGTTGAAGTGTATAGTTTACAATAAAGGGTCTGTTGGGAGTGAGTGGTTGAAAATACAGTAAATTAATTAATAAATTATGATGTACAATTGCTGAGACAGAGAAGATTCTAGGATGCAAAGCACAGCTGCTGGAGGACATAGTGTTCAGTAGGAGGGGAGAGCGTCTCTGTCTAAATCGAGGGGCTGCTGACAGGACATGTGCAGGTGTCAGCAGGTTTGTGTTTAGTGTTAGGAAGATGAGGGAGCTCCCTTCTGAAGGCTCCCTCTATTATTTTCTCTGTAAATGGAAGTCATCTGCATGTAGAGAGAATGAGGAAAAGGAGGAGTTGAAAGTTTGAAGAGAATGGAGCAGGTTTAATTGGTTGTAAGGGTGAGAGTGGGTGGACCAGAGAAATATAGAAGGACTGTGGGGTAATGCTGATGGCCCATTTCACGTTGTTAGTGGTAAAATTATCATGAACCAAGCTTTACCTTTTCTAAGTGCTTTTCTAAGTGTCTCAGTGTTTTATTTTATTTAATCTTCAAAGCAGCCCCACGATGTCGGTATTATCATCCCTCTCTTTTCACAGATGATGAAGTGGAGGTACAGCAAAATGATGTCACTTGTTTAAGGTCAAAGAGCTAGGGTTGGAGCCAGGTATTGAACCCAGAGAGTCTGTCTCCAAAGCCCATGGTCTTAACCACCACACTAAGTCATGTCCCCAAAATAGGTCCAGATCACACTTTACCATCACTAAATATAGATCTCCATAATCATATTTAATGACTGCACTGTATTCCATTGTATGGATATAGCACATGCTAGAGTGTGATCTAGGCATTTTTTCTCTTAATAGACACAAGCTCAGTTGCCAGGACAGGAAGAAACTGTGCTGTGTGTTCCTTTGCCCCCTGCGCTGTGTAGTGAGAAAGCTCAGGAAGGCTGGCAGAGAACATGGAATTGTTTGCTTTCCTGGGCCTGACTAGAGGCTCTGTCTGAACCAAGCCTGGCAGTCTACTAGATCTAACTCCTTCACAGAGAGCATCTCTTGAATTTGTAAATTGGTTTTATGCTTGACAGTCTGTTCAGTTAATTTTCCAGAGATGCTCTAGCTGTGATTCTGCATTCTCGAGTCAGCCACTAGACAACACCAAATTCCAGAGAGAGCTTGTTTGAGGCTGGGTTACAAGAGTAGTTTCCCCTCTTTCTGCTTTGCTGTATTTTCCAATTTTCTATAGAGAGTATATGTAACTTTCATTTTGTGGGGAAAAATGAAGTTAACTTCTCTAAAGTAAAAAACCAGGTTAGGCAGAAGACAGAAGTCTAAGATTCAGTGCTTTTGAATCTACTATAGCTAAAGATATGCTTACTCTATGACCCAACAATCCCATCCCTAGGTATATACCCAAGAGAAATGAAAGCGTATGTGTATACAAAGACCTGTACACGAATGCTCATAGCAACTCTATTCATAATTGCCCCAAATGAGAAACAACCCTAATGGATATAAATAAATGAGTAGATAAACCGTGGTACATCCATACAATGGAATACTACTTAGCAATAAAATGGAATAAATCTCAAAATAATTATGCTGAGTGAAATAAGCCAAAATGAAAAAAAGTATATACTGTATTATCCCATTTATATAACATTCTAGGAAATGCAAATTAATGTGTATTTGCAGTAATCAGATCTGTGGTTACCTTTAGGGGTGGGGAT